GTCAACAAATTAAAAAAAAATAGAAACTATTCAGAGAATGATTTTTGATTGTTGGAATCAAAATGGGACTCAGTAATACAAAGACAGTATAAAAATCTGCAAACATTTCAATGTCAGACAATATAGTTTTGAATAATTTATGAGTCAAAGAGAACATCTCAAAGGAAATATAAAAAAATACATGGAACTTAATGAAAATAAACACGCAGCATAACTGTGAGTGCAGCTAGTGTAGTAGAACTAGGAAAATTTCTACCACTAAATACTTTTTGTAGATTTATGCAAATAATGCATGTGTTATGTGATGTTTTTGCCAACCTCACCCTTCCCCATGAAGTATTTTTTGTAAGCATGTTTTTTACAGCAACATGTAAAAAAATTAGCATAGCATCCTTATGAAAATACCTCACTGGGGAAAGATTTGTTTGGCAAAACAGAAAATAACGTGGTTATTTGTGTAAAAATACAGTATATTAAAAATGGGAAAGGTCTCAATTTATAATCCAAATCTTACCTCAAGAACTAGAAAAAGTCAAAATAAACCCGAAACAAGCAGAAGGAAGGAAATAATAAAGAGCTGAAACCAATGAAATTGAAAACAGAAGAATGAAAAAAATCAATGAAACCAAAAGGTTGTTGTATTTAAAAAGAATTTTACAGTTAATAAACTATCATCACTGATGAGAAAAAGGGAGGAGGCACAAATCACCAATATCAGGAATAAAAAGAGACAGGTTTATTGATTCTGTAGTTATTAAAAGGATAATAATGAGCAAGTATGAAAAAAATAATAATGAGCAAGTATGAGTAACTTCATGCTTTTAAATTCGTCAACTTAAAAGAAAATTGGGCTAACTTTTAGAAAACTACAGACTACCAAAACTGAAAAAGATGAAATAGAGAACCTGAATAGCTCTATAATTGTTCAAAGAAATTAGATTAGAAACTAAAAAGCTTCTGAAAATATTTTCAGTCCCAGATGCTGTGTTATTATAGAATTCATCCAAGCTTTCAGAGTATTAAAATAAATTTTATACAGTTACTTCCAGAAAATGAAAAAGAATAGTTCCCAACTCACTTTGTGAGGCTAATATTACCTTGATACCAGTACAAATAAAACTACAGACCAGTGTATCTCATGAGTTTAAACACCAAAATCCTCAATAAAATATTAGTAAAATAATCCAGCAATGTCTAAGAAAAATTATGCAAATGACCAAGTAGAACTTATTACAGTTATGCATGACTGATTCAACATTAAAAAAAATCAGCGTAATTCACCTTATCTACAGGATAAAAAAAAATATCATATGGTCATATTAATTGATGCGGAAAAAGCACTTGATAAAATTCAACACTTATTCATGATAAAAACTCCTAACAATCTAAAAATAGAAGTAAACTTTCCCAGTTTGATAAAGAGTACCTACAAAAAAAAAAAAAAAAAAAAAAAGAAGAAGCCCTGGTTGAACAATGGTTAAGTGTTCTGCGAAAGAAAGGGCCTGGTGATCTGCTCCTGGAAAGATGAACAACAACAACAACAAAAACCCACCATTGCAGTAGAGTAAATTCCGACTCATAGTGACCCTATAGTACAGAATAGAATTGCCCCATAGGGTTTCCTAGGAGCAGCCGGTGGATTCGAACTGCCAACCTTTTGGTTAGCAGCTGAGCTCCTGATGAGGTATTTCTACTCTGTTATACATGCTCACTATGAGATGGAATCAACTTGATGGCACACAACAACGCCTAAAAAAATGTACAGCTAACATCATACCTAATGCGCAAAGAATGAATGCTTTCCCCCTAAGATTGGCAGTAAAGCAAGAAAGTATGCTCTCACCATTATTATTAAACACAGCCTTGAAAGCTGTTGTTATTGCAGTAAGGGAAGAAAAAGAGATAAGAAGCATATTTGAAAGAAGAAATAAAACTCCTATTTGCAGGTGACCTAATGGTCTATAATCCCAAAGAGTCCTAGAACTAATCCATGAATTTTGAGAGGTTGCAGGATATAAGATCAGCACTAAAAAATCAATTGCATTTCCAATTAATAACAATGAACATGTGGAAAATAAAAGTTAAAAGTGCCACACAATTTACAACCACTCAAAGGAAATGAAACAATTTGTTATAAACTTACCAAGATGTACATGATCTTTACGCTGAAAATTATAAAATGGTGGTTGATGAAAGAATCCAAGGAAGTCTTAAGTAAGTGGAAAGACATATGTTCATGGATTGGAAGACTTAGTATAATAAAGATGTCAGTTCTCTCCAAATTGATCTACAGGTTTAATGCAATTCCCATGAAAATCCCAGCAAGGTGTTTTTCGACATAGACAAATTTATTCTAAAATTTATGTAGAAATGCACAGGCCCTAGAACAGCTAAGAAATCCAGACAAAGGAGAATAAAGTGGGAGGAAGGAATCACATTACCTGACAGGCTTACTGTATAGCTGTGGAAGTTTCTGGGCGGTGCAAATGGACAACATGCTCGGCTGCTAACTGAAAGGTTGGAAGTTCCAGTTCACCCTGAGGTGCCTTAGAAGAAAGACTCGGCTGTCTGCTTCTGAACAATCAGCCATTGAAAACCATATGAAACAGCTTTAGTCTGACACACGTGGGGTTACGATACATCAGTGACTGACTCAGCAGCAACTGGTGATGATGGACTTAGCTGTATTAATCAAGACAGTGTGCTATTGACATAGGGATAGACACATTGATAATGAAACAAAATAGAGTACCCAGTAATACCAGAAACCAGTTGGTGTCAAGTCAGTCTCCAACACATGGTGACCCCATGTGTGTCAGAATAGAAGTGTGCTCCATAGGGTTTTCAGTGGCTGATTTTTCAGAAATAGATTACCAGGCCTTTCTTCCAATGTACCTCTAGGTCAACTAGAACCTCCAATCTCTCAAGTAACAGCTGAGTGCATTAACAATTTGCATCTCCCATGGACTCCGCCCAGAAATAGAAAATAGCCCATGTGACTTTTAACAGAGGTACAAAATAAAGTCAATGTAGTAAGGATAGTGTTTTCAACAAACATTGTTAGGGTGATTTGATATCCATTGGCCAAAAAAAAAAGAACCTCAACTTAAATCTCATAATTTATTTAAAAAATACCCTCAGAATGGATCACAGATTTAAATATAAAATGTAAAACTATAAAACTTTTAGGGGGAAAAAATAATCTTCAGGATCTAATGTAGGAATGACACCAAAAGCATGATCTATAAAGGGAATAATTGCTAAATTTGATCCCATCAGAATTAAAAACTTGCTTTACAAAACACCTTGTCAAGAGGATGAAAAGATAAGGTAAAGACTGGAGAAAATATTTGCAGCTTACATATTTGACAAAGGACTGGTATCTAGAATACATAAAGGACTCTCCCAAACTCAATAGCAACAAAATAAACAAACCAGTTAGATAATGGGCAAAAGACATATGAGACATTTCATCAAAGAAGATATACATGTTGCAGAAAGACATACAGATATGCAACATATTTAGCCATCAGGGAAGTGCAAATTTAAATGATCATTAATGAAGTATCACTACATACCTATCAGTGTGGCCAAAATAAAATATTGATAATCTCAAATGGTGGCAAGAGAAGAAAGCTTAGACCACTCATAGGTTGCTGGTGAAATGTAAAATTCATAGGTTGCTGGTGGGAATGTAAAATTGTATAGCCACTCTGGAAAATAATTTGACAGTTTCTTATAAGACTAATCTTGCAATTACAGGACAAGCCAGCAATTGCACTCTTGGGCATTCATGTCAGCAAAATAAAAATTACCTTCACATAAAATCCTGTAGATGGATATTATTCATAGCAGTTTTATTCGCAGTAGCCCCAAACTGGAAACAACATAGGTACCCTTCTATAGGTGAATGATTAAACGAACTGCGGTACATCCATACTATGAAATACTACTCAATAATGAAAAGGTACTAACTGGATATACACAATAGCTTGGATGAATGTCCAGGAAAATATGCTGAGTGACAAAAACCAATCTCACAGTTTACATAGTATGATTTCATTTATATAACATTCTTGAAGTGGCAAAATTATAGAAATACAAAATTATAGTGGTTGCCAGGATTGAGGAATGGTGATGGGGAGTAGTGTGGTATTAAAAGGCAACACAAAGTATACTGTATTTTTACAAAAATAACACGTGCCTTCTACATTTGTTTGCCAACAACTCCTTCCCCTGGTGAGGTATTTTCGTAAGTGTGCTATGCTAGTTTTTCTCACAGCTACATATTTAAAAAAATTGGCATAATGGCACTCCTGAAAATACCTCATGGGGGGAGAGACTGCTTGGCAAACAAATGTAGAAGGCGTGTGTTAAATTTGCGCAAAAATACTAGTGATGATGGAACTGTTCAGTATCTTGACTGTAACTGTGTCAATACTATAGTTGTGATATTGTACTGTAATTTTTCAAGATGTTACTGTTAAAGGAAACTGGGTAAAGGGTACCCAGGATTTCTCTGATTAATATTTACAACTGTTGGTAAGTCTATTTTCTTAAAATAGAAAGTTTAAGCAAAAAAGTTTGCTGTTAAGTGTTTCTAGCATACTGCTGCTACCAGAGCTCCTAATCTGGTAAAGTGCAGGAAACATATCATTCAGAAATACTGGTTTTGTGATTTTTTTTTTTTGTTTTGTGTGTTTTTTTTTCTATGATTTCATTAAATACTCTAGAAATTGTACTCCAGTTTTCTTTCTTCTCCTTTATAACTTACCCTAACCAATTGTAATTCTTTTTCTCCTTATACTTTGGCTTTAATTCAGAGAATCTTAGGTTGTACATAGAACTTTAGACAGAAAGATTTGATGTAAGTCATTACTTCCACTATTAACAGTTTTGTATATTTGTGAGACTGGCCAAGTAATACGGATAAAAATCTCATGCTAATAAAGAACAAGTTAAGGTAATCATTATTTGTATATATTCTTTTTCTTTCATAGAAAATTTCACATCTGATAGTACATATGGACCTGCAGAGATAACATGGAGTTCCAGTGGAAGTGAGCTGTCAGATGAAGAAAAGACAATTTCTAAATCACTGAATGATAATGGACATGGTTCTAGAATAGACAGGTTTTGCAACAGAAAAACTTTATGTCAAGAAGATGGGGCCAGTGAAGGTAAATTGATAATTTTGTAAGAAATCCAGTTTCTGTTATATATTGAGTTTAATATTGGGAAAAAATATTCTTATTATAGCTATTATTGTAGGTATTTTCTATTTTAATCTTACTGAGTACTGCCTTATGCTAAGTGCTCAAGAAACGTTTTTTCATTTAATATTATTATTTTTTAAAACACTTGGCATTTATTTTGAAAAGAAAAGTTTCTCAAGATTTTTTTTTTACTGTACTTTAGGTGAAGGTTTACAGAACAAATAGTTTCTCATTAAACAGTGAGTACACGTATCGCTTTATGACATTGGTTAACAACCTCATGACATGTCAGTCCTCTCCCTTCTCGACCTCGGAGGACCTTTTTTTGGATGAAAATATACATAGCCAAAGATACACCATTTCAAAAATTTCTACATGTACAATTCAGTGATGTCGACTGCATTCTTCCAGTTGTGCTGCTATTCTCACTTTAGATGAAGGTTTACAGATCAAAATAGTTTCTTATTAAACAGTACACATACTGCCCTGTGACAATGGTTAAGAACCCCACTACATGTCAACAATGTCCTTACTCAA